GCATGCCTGTAGTCCCAGCTACTCGGGAGGCTGAGGCAGAAGGATTGCTTGAGCCCAGGAGTCTGAGGTTGCTGCGAGCTAGGCTGATGCCACGGCACTCTAGCCCGGGCAACAGAGGGAGACTCTGTCTCAGAAAAAAAAAAAAAAGATACAGAAGATAAGAGGAGCCAAGGAAACTAAGAAGAGCAGCCCTACAAACAAGAAAAAAAAAAACAACAAAGAGTCAGAAGGGACTTGTACCCTGGAGTCACGGGAGAAGAGAATTTTAAGAAATTCTCTTAAATTACAGAAATGTTAAGGAGGCTAAAAACTAGAAAGTGTCCCCTGAACTCAGCAGTGAGGAAGTCACTGATGAATTTAAGGAGAGCAGTTTAAAACCAAAGCAAAAAATCAACAAGGGTAGGGAGCCTGGGAACCAGCTGGGAACAAAAGGATGAGGATAGCTTTAGGTTGACAGAGGTCCCTGAGTAAGTATGTAGGGATATGACCTAAGGCACATAGAGATTTGTGCCTGAGATGTGAGTAGACTTAAATCTAGGAATGGAAGGTACAGAGAAAGACCAAGAAGCTGAAAGAGTTCTTATTTAATGGCCTGTTTTTTCTTTGGAGAGTATTTAAAAAAAAAAAAAAGAGAGACAGGGTCTCACTGTGTCACCCAGACTGGACAGCAGTGGCACGATCATAGCTCACTGCAGCCTCAAACTCCTGGGCTCAAGGATCCTCCTGCCTCAGCCTCCCAAGTTGTTGAGATTACATACATAAAAGGATATTTACTGACCACAAAAGGGGGAGATGACAGGTAGGAAACTGGAAGGTTTGGAAAAACTGTTGTTCAAGACAGTACAGAGAGCTGACTGGGGACTCAAGAGAGAGGTACTACAGGCTCACAAAATCTTGACCAGCTCTACAGAATCCCCTCTTATTCTAAGTCTCAATTCCAGAGTCATTCTGATGGAAATGAAAAATGGTACATAACCTATGTATAACTACTTAACAATATTTATCAGAATGCAAATACATTTGTCTTTTGACCCAGCAACCCTATTTCTGGGAATGTATGTAACAATTACTCTTGGACAATGTGGAATGATGTGTATAAAAAGTTATTCATTGGAGCACTATTTGTGAGCAAAAGAATGCAAACAATCCAAGTGCCCATCATAAAAGGTGAAATAAACTATGGTTTACTATGCATCTATAAAAAAAGAATTGAATAGTTCTCTCTTCTGAAATGGAAAGACCTATAGGATATACCACGCCAAAAAAGAAAAGTGTAGAACAATATTTATAGTATGCCACTGTTTGTGATTCAGGAGGTGAAATATAAAAATCTGTATTCATATTTGCTTGTATTTACGTAAGGAAACCTGGAAAAAGACAGACAAACTATTGAAAAATAGTACTCACAGTAGACCGGGTGAGACAAATAATTCTCAATGTGTATACCACTTTATACTGTTAGAATTCTGAGCCATATGTAATACATTACCCACTCAAAACACATAAAATTTAAGATTGTCTAAGTTATAGATCCTCTCTTCAGAAAAAGTGCACATAACCATGAAAGCACCATCCCTAGACCTTAGGTTGAGAATATCAAGATCTACCATTTAGGGGTTAAATGCTGTGATGTCTGCAATTTCCTATTTAAAATTTTCAGAAAAAATGAACTGTGTCACAACATTAAAAACTATTAAATCTACATAACTGGTTTATGGAAATTCATTATATCACTCTCATTTTCTGTTGGAAAATTCCAATGATAAAAAGCGAAAATATAAAAGCAACACCAAAAAGGCCAAACCTGTGTTCTAGGCTCCCATATCTCACTTCTCATCACGGTAGATGCAATCAAAGTACCCTGTGTCTTACCGGATCTGCTCCATAGCTTCCCACGTCAGGGTTCTGGGCGGGGCACCTGGAGCCTCCATTTGTCTCCGAATTTTCTGGAATCGCATTGCTTTTTTCTGTCGTTTCAGGATGCTGGGGGAGAGAACCAATGGCAGAAGCCATGCGGAGAAGCAAGATGGGTGTCTGGAGAGCCTCAGGTTAAATCACAGAACGCCCAGCCCTCTTCTCTTTGTTCGAAAGGGCAACCGGGCCATGTCTGCAGGCTTAGAGCTGTTCTGTACACCACCCCAGAAATCTAACAGCTAGAACAATAACTGCCCGTAAGCACGCCGAATTCTCTAAACTGGTGATGAAATACGTCACTGGTGAAAGGACTCCTGGTCCCAAGGGAGCTGAACATCTGCCCCCGCGCCCCTGACAACGGGCAAGAAGAAACAAGGGTCGCTGCGCGTGCAGCGGCAGGGCACCCGGCGCCAAGGGGGCGCGGCCTGGAGCGCCGGGGCGCGAGGCCCTACTTCAGGCTGACGGACCGGGGAGGAGCCGGTACCTCTCCACCTCCTGCAGCTCCCGCTCCTCCGGCTCCCAGTCGGAATCCGGGTCCGGCTCGCGGCCGATAGGGCCCGGGCCCGCCACCCCCCGGCTCGCGAACCCACAGCGCGCGACTGCAGCGCGGACACGCCCGCCCAGCAACAGACTCAGGGTAACCGCCATGTCGATGCCAACAAGCCTCAGGCAGCCCGCGACGCCGCAGCACCGGAAGTAGGAGGGCGGAACCGGAAATTGCAGGGTGGGCCGGAAGCTGGGCGGTCACGAGTGTTTCCGGCTTCACGGGACTGGAGGTAGATAAAGGCTGGAACTGGTACGTGGCCCTCCTTTGCTGGCTGTGACTGTGGAGAGGCTTTCCTTGGAAAGCAACGGCCAAAATGAGATACAGGACGCGCCTGAAAAATGGCATAAACTTTAATAAAAAGACGGATCCAATTGTCAAGAGCCCCCACGCCCCCTGTCCCAGCGGCTGTCCAGGCCTGCCTGTCTCCGCGCAGTAGGAAGGGCTTCCCCTTGGCAATCGTGTGACGGCGACAGCCCGGTGCCTTGGGCACTCGGCTCCTCTGGGAAGGGGGCTCCTTGTCGCCGGGTAGCTTTCAGTCCTGGGCAGTACCCAAGGTTCAGACCCATCACCTAGCGATAAGCCCAAGCTAAGGCTTGAGGAGCAGAGATGAATACATGGCCGGTTTTGGCTCCTCTTGATCTTTTAGTCTTTAGCGATCCCAAAATCATCTTAGGATGCTGAGGAATTCTTGGTGACTGTGTTATGCCTTATGTAAACAGAGTTCCTGGCCAGGGCTTTTCAAACTGTAAATTGGCGACAGTCCTTCATTTAGCAAAGATTGAAGGACTTTTGTCCCTTTGAAAACCTGAGATTCTCCAGGAGAGGTAGAGATCCCTCCTGCTTTTACCTGTGCTGACTGATGTTGAGGAGTGCACTGGAACGCTGCAGCACAGGTGCAGAGGCAGTGCAGAGGGTGAGATCCCGAGTCTTGGCTGCTCTGTGTTCAGAGTTTACCATGGAGGGCAAGGTGCATTCAGTCCATGTATCACATGCCACTCTTTCCGGTTGCAGAAGATAGCCCTGCTTTGGGGTTAAAGTGGGTGGCACTGATCCTGCCAGGGCTTGGTTTATGGCTTCTAGCCTTCTGCTGGCTTGGCCTTCTGTATTGGAAACATGGATCCTGCTGAGTTGGTACTCACAGAAGAGACTTGCTCACCTCTTTCCAATTGTGGCCCAATTATCAACACAGGAATGGCATCCCATGCTTCCCTCCAGGATCTTTACCACACCTTATTGTAATTAGTATGTCTACTTATTCATTTCCCTTTTATTGAGCGTTGGGACTGTATGCCATTTCTGTCACCAGGGTCTAGTACATAGAAGGAAGTAAATAAATGGGGTCCACTACCTCCCCCATTCCCACATGCTGGAAGTGCTAAACTATATTTTGGGAGCATCCCATCTGTATATCTGCTAGTAGGAATTTACACAGTCCAAGTGACCAAAGCTGGTTTGTATACTTACGACTAGTGAGCTTGACTCTGGCACCGGAAAAACAGTGCCTCCCAGATTTCTTCATTGACAATGAACAGGGGCCGAAGGCCGATGTATCTCCTATCCACTTGAAGGTCTTGGGCTTCAGTTGGCACCAGGAATGATGTAGAATTGCGACATTCATGCTTGGCAGTGGCCCTAAGATCCTGGGGATCAATTCATGGGGCCGAACTGGATGCAGGAAATGAGGAGGGCCCTGCTCTGTGGCAGCCCTTCTCAGGAGCAACAATGGGACCAGACTCACAGATTGCATTTCTTGACTGCCTGGCCCATCCTGGTGAAATCTAGGCTGGAGGAGAAGAGCAGCCCCTTACCACCCTTCTTTGTGAGGCTGGAGTGTTCGAAGAAATAGGTAACTGAAAAATCTCTTCTAGGCCATGGCCACTATTTAACCAGTTACTCCTTTGGGATTCAACAAAAAAAGAGGACCCAACAGGTTTGCAACTAGCCCAGGGAATAGTGAATGCGGCAGCTGTTTTGTTGGCCCAAGACTGTTTACTTATCTCCCAGTAGAGCCAGGGCACTGGCAGTGCTAGGGAGAAAATTACACAGAAGCCACTGAGGGTGGTGGCCTTGTTATTTGTCAGTCATGAGTTTGGGGTTACTGTGAGACAGGATTATAAAGAGCAAGTCTCATAAGTCAGAAGGTTGGGAACTGCATGTTGCTGGATGTCATACCTAAAACAAGGGAGCTTGGGAACAGATGCAAAAGGAACCAAAAGACCCTCTCCCAAGGCTCTGTGTACTCTGCTTGCCCAGGCTCCACTGACAGATACCATCACATAAGCCTCCTTTGGTGTGACCACCACCATGTGCTGGTACCACAGCCCTTGTTCCCTTGTTCTCTAGGAGGCTTCGTAGGGACCCTCACCCGATACTCATGAAGCTTTGTCTGGCCCTGGTGGATAGGGTGCAGCATGCGAGTGATCTGCTCTACAATACCCAGGCTTCGGATGAGATTTTCCCTTTGTAGCAGAGCCTTCATCCGCTCCAGCTCCTCCGATTCCACAATCTGTTGAGGCTGCATGGTGTCCAGTTGTACTGGTAGCAGCTACAAGATACATGAGAGATAAATGCAGAATCCCCAAGGAAGAGTCCCAAACCATCAGCAAGGATGGCTGCGGGACCCCTGCCCACTTTTTTTGTTCTTTTTAAATTTTTATTTTTATTTCAGAGTATTACGGGAGTACAAATGTTTTGGTTACATAAATTGCTTTTGTATAGTTGGAGTCAAAGTTGTAAGTGTGCCCATCACCCAGATAGTGTGCATTGTACCCATTAGGTGTGAATTTACCCATACCCTCCTCCCCCCTCCCTCTTGCTTGATTTCCAATGAGTTTTATTTCTATATGTGCACATAAGTGTTGTTTGATTAGTTCCAATTTAATAGTGAGTACATGTGGTGTTTGTTTTTCCATTCTTGTAGTACTACACTTAGAAGAATGGTCTCCAGTTCCATCAGGTTAATACAAGAGGAATTAGTTTACTGGGTTTTTTATGGCTAAGTAATACTCCATGGTATACATATACCACATTTTATTAATCCACTAATGTATTGATGGGCACTTGGGTTGTTTCCACATCTGTGCAATTGTGAATTGTGCTGCTATAAACATTTGGGTGCAAGTGTCTTTTTTATAAAATGCCCTTTTTTCCTTTGGGTAAATACCCAGTAGTGAGATTGCTGATCAAATGGTAGGTCTACTTTTAGTTTTTTCAGGTATCTCCATACTATAATACTTTCCATAGAGGTTGTACTAGTTTGCAGTTCCACCAACAGTGTAAAAGTGTTCCTATCTCCACATTCATGCCAGCATTTGTTGTTTGGGGATTTTTTGATAAAAGCCATTCTCACTGGAGTTAGGTGATATCTCATGGTGGATTTGATTTGCATTTCCCAGATGATTAGAGACATTGAATTTTTTCATATGTTTATTGGCCATTATTCTATCTTCCTTTGAAAAGTTTCTGATCATGTCTTTTGCCCACTTTTTAAAGGGGTTGTTTGAGTTTTTCTTGTTGATTTGCTTGAGTTCTTTGTAGATTCTGGTTATCAGCCTTTCATCAGATGTAGAGCATGCAAATATTTTCTTCCATTCTGTAGGTTGTCTATTCACTCTATTGATTGTTTCCTTGGCTGTGCAGAAGCTTTTAACTTGATCAGGCCCCATTTAGTTATTTTTGTTGTCTCTGTGATTGCTTTTGGGGTCTTCTTCATAAATTCTTTGCCTAGGCCAATGTCAATATGAGTTTTTCCAACATTTTCTTCTAGAATTCTTATAGTTTCATGTCATAGGTTTAAGTCAGTTATCCATTGTGAATTACTTTTTGTGAGTGGTGAGAGGTACAGATCCTGTTTCAGTCTTACACATGTGGCTATCCAGTTTTCCCATCACCATTTACTGAATAGGGATTCTTTTTCCCAGCGTATGTTTTTTTCTGCTTTGTCAAAGATCAGTTGGCAATATGAGGATGGTTTTAAATCTGGGTTCTCTGTTCTGATCCATTGGTCTATGTCTCTGTTCTTGTGCCAGTACCATACTGTTTTGGTTACTATAGCTTTGTAGTACAGCTTAAAGTCTGGTAAAGTGATACCACCAATTTGTTCTTTTTGCTTAAGATTGCCTTCACTATTTGGGCTCTTTTCTAGTTCCATACAAAGTGTAGAATTATTTTTTTCTAGATCTGTGCAAAACGGTGTTGGTATGTTTTTTTTTTTTTTTTTTTTTTTAGACAGAGTCTCACTGTGTTGCCCAGGCTAGAGTGCCGTGGCGTCATCCTAGCTCACAGCAACCTCAAACTCCTGGGCTCAAGCGATCCTCCTGCCTCAGCCTCCCGAGTAGCTGGGACTACAGGCATGCGCCACCATGCCAGGCTAATTTTTTCGATGCATTTTTAGTTGTCCGATTAATTTCTTTCTACTTTTAGTAGAGATGGGGTCTCGCTCTTGCTCAGGCTGGTTTCGAACTCCTGAGCTCAAACAATCCGCCCGCCTCGGCCTCCCAGAGAGCTAGGATTACAGGCGTGAGCCACCGTGCCCGGCCTGGTGTTGGTATGTTAATGGGGATTGCATTGAATCTGTAAATCACTTTGGGTAATATAGACATTTTAACAAATGTTGATTCTGCCAATCCATGAGCGTGATATGTTTTTCCATTTGTTTATATCCTCTGCGATTTCCTTCCTCACTATTTCCTAGTTCTCCCTACAGAGGTCCTTCACCTTCTTGGTTAAATATATTCCTAGGCATTTTATTTTCTTTGTTGCTATTGTGAAGGGTATTGAGTCTTTGATTTGATTCTCAGCTTGACTGTTGTTGGTGTATAAGAATACTACTGATTTGTGCACACTTATTTTATAAGCTGAGACTTTGCTGAATTTATTTATCAATTCCAGGAGTCTCTTGGCAGAATCTTTGGGGTTTTCTAGATATAAGACCATATCGCCAGCAAAAAGCAATAGTTTGACCTCCTCTTTCCCCATTTGGATACCCTTGATTTCTTTCTCTTGTCTAATTGCTCCGACTAGGACTTCTAGCATTATGTTGAATAGAAGTGGTAACAATGGGCAAACTTATCTGGTTCCAGTTCTAAGCGAGAATGTTCTCTGTTGTTCCCCACTCAGTATGATGTTGGCTGTGGGTTTGTTATATATGGCTTTTTAAATTTTGAGATATGTTCCATCTATGCCTATTTTGTTAAGAGTTCCTATCATAAAAGGGTGCTGAATTTTGTGAAATGCTTTTTCTGCATCTGTTGAGAGGACCATAAGGTCTTTGTTTTTGCTTCTATTTATGTGGTGAATCACATTTATAGATTTGTGTATGTTGAGCCATCCTTGCATCTCTAGGATGAAGCCCACCTGGTCCTGGTGGATTATTTTTTTGATGTGCAGCTGAATTCAATTTGCTAGGATTTTATTGCGAATTTTTGAATCTATATTCATAAGGGATATTGGTCTGTAGGTTTCTTTTTTGTAGTTGTTGTGTCCTTTCCTGGCTTTGGTATTAGGGTGATATTGCCTCTGTAGAATGAGTTGGGAAGGATTCCTTCCTTCTTGATGTTATGAAATAATTTCTGCAGTATAGGTACCAGTTCTTCTTTGTAGGTCTGGTAAAATTCAGCTGTGAAACCATCTGGTCAAGGAGTGTTTTTTTGTTGGAAGATTTTTTATTGCTGCTTCAATTTTGTTACTTGATATTAGTCTGTTCAGGAGTTCTATTTCTTCCTGATTTACCCTAAGGAGGTTGTGTATTTCCAGGAATTTGTCCATTTCCTCAACGTTTTCAAGTGTATGTGCATAGAGATTTTTATAGTATTCAGAGATGATATTTTGTATTTCTGTGATATCAGTTGTAATTATCTCCTTTTTCATTTCTTTTTTTTTTTTTTTTGAGACAGAGTCTCACTGTGTTGCCCAGGCTAGAGTGCCATGGTGTCATCCTAGCTCACAGCAACCTCAAACTCCTGGGCTCAAGTGATCCTCTTGCCTCAGCCTCCTGAGTAGCTGGGACTACAGGCATGTGCCACCATGCCCGGCTAATTTTTTCTATATATTTTTAGTTGTCCAATTAATTTCTTTCTAATTTTAGTAGCGATGGGGTCTCGCTCTTGCTCAGGCTGGTTTCGAACTCCTGAGCTCAAACAATCCGCCCACCTCAGCCTCCCAGAGAGCTAGGATTACAGGTGTGAGCCACTGCGCCCAGTCTCCTTTTTCATTTCTGATTCAGCTTATTAGGGTTCTTTCATTTCTGTCTCTGGTTAATCTCGTGAGAGGCCTGTCAATTTTCTTTATCTCTTCAAAGAACCAACTTTTTGTTTCATTAATCTTCTGTATAATTCTTTCAGAATCAATTTCATTTAGTTCTGGCTCTGCTCATTTAGTTATTTCTTTTCTTCTGCTGATTTTGGGACTGGTTTACTCTTTTTCTAATTCCTTGAGACGATTCATTAGATTGTCGATTTGTGATCTTTCTGTCTTTTGGATATAGGCATTTAAGACTATGAATTTTTGTCTTAAGGCTGCTTTTGCAGGATCCCATGGATTTTGGTAATTTGTGTCCCCTTTGTCATTTAGTTTGAAGAATCTTTTGATTTCTATCTTAATTTCCTCCTTGACCCAATAATCATTCAGCGGTTGGTTGTTTAATTTCTGTGACTTTATGTAGGATTGAGTGTTTCTGTTGGGATTGATTTCTGATTCCACTGTGGTCTGAGATGATAGATGGTATAATTTCTATTTTTTTATTTGTCGAGACATGTTTTGTGGCCTAGGATGTGATCAATCTTAGAGAATGTTCCAGGAACTGATAAGAAGAACATATATTCAGTAGTTTTGGGGTAGAATGTTCTGTAAATGTCTATTAGGCCAATTTGTTCTAGAGTCCTGTTTAAGTCCATTGTTTCTTTGTTTATTTTCTGTTTCGAGGATCTGTCCCATTCTGTCAGTGGGGTGTTGAAGTCTCTGGCTTTACAATGCTTCTATTTATCATTTTGTTTAGATCAAGTACGATTTGCTTTATGAATCTGGGCACACCTGTGTTAGGCGCATGGATATTTAGGACTGTTATGTCTTCTTGTTGAATTGTTCCCTTCACCATTATATGATGACCATTTTTGTCTTCTTTACTTTTGATGATTTGAAGTCTATGTTATCTGATATGAGAATGGCTACACCAGCTTTCTTTTGGTTTCCATTTGCATGGAATATTGTTTTCCATCCCTTCACCTTGAGTCTGAATGAGTCCTTGTGGGTTAGATGTGTTTCCTGGAGACAGCAGACACTTGGCTTGTACTTTTTTATCCATTCAGCCAGCCTATGTCTCTTGAGTGGGGAGTTCAAGCCATTCACATTTATTGAAAGAACTGATAAGTGGGGTGGATTTCTGTCCATCCTGTTGCATAGAACTTTATTGCTTTGTTTTACCTCTTGAGCCATTGTGTATCTGGGCTCTGACCTTTAGCTTTTCGATGGTTTTACACTGGTGGGTGTCTATTGTGCTGATCAGTATATAATGCAGATTTGAGTACTTTCTGTAGGGCAGGTCTGGTGTTGACAAATTCCCTCAGTGTTTGCTTGCCGGAGAAATTATTTATTTCTCCCTCATATGAGAAACTTACTTTCGCAGGATACAAAATTCTAGGCTGGCCATTATTCTGTTAGCGAAGACTGAGAATGGGGCCCCAGTCATCTTCTGGCTTGTAAGGTAGGTCTCACTTGGGAAGTCTGCTGTTAGTCTGATGGGTTTTCCTTTGTAAGTTACCTGATGCTTTTGCCTTATGGTTTTGTAGGAGTTCCTCTTTTGTGTTAACTTTGGCCAGTCTGATGACTATATGTTATGGTGATCACCTCTTGGTGATGAATCTCCCAGGAGTCCATTGTGCTTCTAGTACCTGAAGTCCAGATTTCTAGCAAGACCTGAGAAATTTTCCTCAAGTATTCCCTTAAAGAGGTTTTCCAGCCCTTGTGTATTTTCTTCTTCACCTTCAGGGATGCCTATAATTCTTATGTTAGGCTTCCTTACATAATCCCATATTTCTAGTAGACTTTGTTTGTTCCTCTTATTTCTGTTCTTTCTCTGTGACTGACTTGTTTAATTCAAAGGTGTCATCTCCTAGCTCTGAGATTATTTCTTCTTCCTGATACAGTTTACTCTTAAGGCTTTCCACACTGTTTTGTATTTCCTTGAATGAATTTTTCATTTCCAGAAGCTCTGCTTGATTTTTTTTAATAACTTGATTTCTTTAGTGAATTTTTCATTTCCTGCATTGTTTTTGTGAGTTTTGTGTTAGGTTTCTATTTTCTCTTTTATTTCATTGAGCTTCCTTACAATTCCTATTTGAAATTCTTTATCAGTCATTTCAATATTCTTGTTTTGGTTGGTTTCCATTGGTATGGAGTTATTGCTTTCTTTTGGGGGTGTCCTTTTACTCTGATTTTTCATGTATCAGGAGATCTTTCACTGATTCCTTCTCATCTGGAGCAGCTTTTTCTTCTTATTTTTGTATTTTCTTTTGATTAGATAGTGGCACTCCCAGTTTAATCTCTGAGACAGTGGATGGTGCTTGTGGATGAGACTCAACTACACCCCATATAATTGAGTCAGTAAATGCTGTAAAGGGCATGCAAATTGACCTCCCTGTCAGTAGGTGGTGTTTGTCAGAAGGAACAAGCTGCAGTGTTGTTTTGGGGGACCCCTGCCCACTCTACCTTCATCCCTTCCCTGACTCTAGTGTAAGGTTCCCTTTGCTGTCCATTCTCTCACTTCCTGTTCCAAGAGGTCAGATTCAATTTATTGATTAGGAACTCATCTCTCTCTTGTGCAAGGGGAGGAGAGGATAGCAGAGATTCCCTTCTCTAGTAGTGCTAACCCACTTCCTGCAGAAAGATAAGAGCCACAAAACTTCTGACACCTCTTTCTGCCGGTTCCATTTCCTGTAAGCCAAGTGGGTGGAAAGGCCCCGGAGCCCTGCCCTGGATCGGCTCTTCTCCCCAGCTGATTCACCCTGGTTCTGGTCCTTGTTGTCCTTTCGCCTCTTAGTGCTTGAGGTCTCCTGCTGTTCTTGCTTAAGGCGGATCTCTTCCAGTTGCTGCCTGACAAGACACAGTGGCTTCAGACACTGGAGAAATTATGTTGGGAAGAAGAGGGGTGAGGGAAAATGGGGACAGGGAAAAAGTAGGAAGTTATGATCTGTTCTTGGGACTGATGGAAGAAGAATGAGGGGGAAGATGGGCAAGAGTCATTAAGAGTCTCAGCAGTCTCCAACCTTTTTGGCACCAGGGACCAGTTTCATGGAAGATAATGTGTCCATGGACTGGGTGCGGTGGGGAGGCAGAGCTGAGGTGGTGATGTGAGCAATGGGGAGTAGCTGTAAATACAGGTGAAGCTTCACTCACTCACCCGCTGCTCACCTCCTACTGTGCAGCCCAGGGGTTGGAAACTGTAGAAGAGGCTGATAGAGTTTACATCTCCAATCCTCTTTCCTCAAATGCCTGGCTTCCTCTCCCACTTCTGGGGAGCAGGGCACCATCAGGATTTGCCCCCACCCATGTGTACAGAGGAGCTTGCAGCGCAAAGTACCTGGCACACTCCTCTCTGGCCTTGGAAGCAGCAGTCTCCTGGAAGAGGGAGCCATTGTGCTTGAAGAAGGGTGCATACTTCCCCGTGTCAGGCCCAGGGTAGATCCTCCGGTATCCCCCCAGGTGCGAATCCTCATATTGTTCCTGGTCCAGCATTGCTGCATGGGATGACTCAATTTGTTCTCGCCTGTGGAAACCAAGCTCAGGGTGAGCCAGAGGAGGGCTGTGAGAATGTTAGTAGGGTAAGGACGGCTGGCTAAGGCTTTGAGACACTCCTGCTGGCTTCTGGGTTTCCTGGGCCCCTGCCCACATAGGGAAAGCTGCCAAACCCGTCTTTGGCCAGCCCCACATATGTGTAGCCATGAAATTAGGCTTGATTTCCAGAAATCTGATTTTCATCACTAAGTACAGAGGGGTTCACTCGTAAGCTAGCATTCCAAGTTATCACAATATTTTAGGTTTCTCATTATAAGAGTAATACATGTTTATTACAGAAAACTTAGAAGACCAAAAAGAAAATTAAACCCTCATAATCTTACTATGCAGTTAGCATATTGGTTATGAGTATGGGCTCTAGGGCAGACCTCCTGAGTTTGAATCCTGGCTTTGCCACTTACTAGCTCATGTGTGCGTTTTCTTTCTTTCTTTTTGTCTTTCTTTGAATGAAAATGAGATTGATCATACAACAATATTTTTAAATGGCTGCCTGTTGTTCTATTGTATGATTGTACTTTTGTTTATTTAGTCCAATTACGTTCAACCATTTTTCCCCATTGAAAGACATGATTCATAACACTCAGGTACACAGTCTAATCTCATGAGAATACCCAGGGTATTGACAATTAAATACTTCACTCCCATTCATCACACAAGCATTCGAGTGCCTACTGTGTGCCAGGCCCTAAGGCTATCATGGGGAATTGAATACAGACTGCCCCTGCATAGTGGACTGCAAGTGAGGAAGAGTGATGTGATTGTAGGAATAACCATAAATCTACTCAAATTCATTTTTATGTATCATTAACAAATTATAATTTTAGTATCAGTAACCAATTACCATTTTGCAATGAAAACAACAATGGGTAACCAACACTGATTTTAACAATTCCCTATTATTGAATGACTAAACTGTTTTCTGTGTTTCTTTATTACAAAATTTCTCAGGAACTGGTTTCTAGAAGAGCTTTGTTAAAAAAACCAAACCAGCTTATCAAACCACAGAAAGCTCCTTTGGTGCTAATATGAGAATGGCTCTAAAATACATTGCTAAGCAGGGTGCAGAGAGTGTAAATGTTATGCAACTGTCTGGGTAGACAAGGGAGAAAAATATTTTGTACAAATACATATATATGCATTAAATTCTTGTGAAAGTATACCATGATACTAGGAACGTTGATTGGTTCCAGGAAGGAAAACTGGGTAGCTGGAAAATGGTAGGAGAAAGACTATATTCACTGTATCTTTTGCATTTTGAATATATTATCTTTGATATGAGATGTATTATCTATGCAAAAATAATTGTTTTTTAATAGCTAATCAGCCCCAGGCTGCCTTCTCCTTCTAAAGAAGGACTTTTACTCTCAAGAAAGTGATAATAAAGAACTGGCTGGGCACTCGCGCCTGTAATCCCAGTACTTTGGGAGGCCAAGGTGGGAGGATTGCTTGAGGTCAGGAGTTCAAGGCCAGCCTGAGCAAGAGTGAGAACCCCCCATCTCTCAGAAATAGAAAAATTAGCAGGGCATGGTGGCATAGACCTGTAGTCCTAGCTACCTGGGAAGCTGAGGCAGGAAGATCACATGAGCCCAGGAGTTCAAAGCTGCAGTGAGCTATGATGACACCACTGCACTCTAGCCTGGGTGACAGAGTAAGACCCTGTCTCAAAAAAAAAAGAACAAAAGAAACACATGTCAGACACCCAATGCACCTGGCTTCTCGTGGCTGTTGGTGGCACTGGAAAAGCCGCTCCTTGACTCGCCGCTTGTCCTCCTCTATCACCTTTCTTTTGTCACAGCCTTGGAGGTTGATAAGGGTCATGGCATCACAGAGAAGTGCATCCTTTACCTCTTGATCAAGGCGTGAGTCCGTGGTGAAGCTTGGAGAGTGGTTTACCTGCCAGGAGGAGTCATTACCCACCCCCCTCCTAGACCACCTGAGCCGGTAGTAGTCTCTAGGAGGCCTAACTAGAGTGTCTGGGAGAGACATCCCCCTCCTGTGGCCTCAGCCAAGGAGGCTGGATGCTCTGGCTCCAAGGCCACAGGACTCTGCCATAGAGATCACTCCAATTCACAGAATAGTGAGAGTAAATCAAACAGCCTGACTCTGCAGGTATGGTGTCCCTAAAGGCAAGGCTTACACTAGGAACCCTGGGATCCAAAACCTGGATTCCTCTGAAAGAGAAACCACCAAGATTTGACTCAGCAGGTCAAAAGCAAAGAGATCTTATGCCTTCTTCTGGTTCCCACCCATGCCAGGGCTTCCACGTCCCCCATTCTCTGTTCCACCCCCCTGAGCACACTCCTATCCCAAGTGTCCTGTTCAAAGAGGCCTCTAGGCTGGGCATGGTGGCTCACGCCTGTAATCCTAGCACTCTGGAGGCCGAGGCGGGCAGAT